CTCAATAGCCATTACTATTGATCCTCTCTCTCAGTGATTTGATGATAATCCATTTTTCCTTTCGATGTATTTTTGTGTTTCTGTACTTTCAGTTCCAGCGATCAATACACTGAGCATGTTCAGTGATCGCTGAAGAATTCGCTTTGTAATTCAGAGACAACGATACTTCAAGAAAACAACACTCACACCAAAGATCCTTCAGCAAACGTCAAAGACTGAAACTGAAGATTAGAGACTGGCGCGTACGTGATCTGAAGCGGTATTCAGTGATTACAAACTTGTCTAGCTATGTGTGAAGACTGCTCTAGCTTCAGCGAATGATGATGAGACCTTCAGGTCATTCCAGCATTCAGCGATCAAACGGAGCTTTCTTAGCACGATTGATGTTGTTTTGTCCTTGCACACACAAAAGGACAAACCCATACCCTTACCAGAGATAGTACGGTACGGAGCCGATTAGTCGACTCTTTGTTCACCATCTTTAGGTAAGGATGTCTGTTCATAAATAGTGCTTTTGTACTATTTACTGTAACAAAGGACAAGCCTTCCTATTAAGGCTTGACACGCACTCTAAACCTACCATACTGCATTAAATGAACATTTAATGCACTGGGTATAAATAGAAGTGTTTCTTCTCCATGCAGAGTGCGCGCATMACTCTTTATTCTCATTCTTACTTCAAGCTTCTTTCAGCTTAAGTAAAAGACTCTTTTAGCAATATCTTTTATTGTATTTGCTAACCTTTGTGTGTAACTTAAGATTGTTTAGATAGGTTTCTTATACCTTATCTTTCCGCAGACAATCTTGTAAAATCTGTATTGATCTTCTTTATCAATATATATTGTAAATTTGAAAATTGTGTTTGTATTCATCTCCCCCCCCCTTCTACAAACTGTTTAGCATTCTTGTAGACCCTTTGGGACCAACAATTACCCAACTCGAACTAGATTTGGAAACTCGTGAGTAGTTAAAACTCAAACTTGACCTACTCTGAATTTGAGTTTTAACTACTCACAACTTTTACAAATTACTCTGAATTTGAGTTTTAACTACTCACAACTTTTACAAATTATATTAGAACACTGATTATATCAAACAAATTCGAGTATCTCACGAGCTTAAATCATCAAGTCTTAATTTTGGATGGTCAGAGGTAATCAAATTAATTCATTGATTTTGTTATTCAAAACAATCAGAGAGCCTAAAATAAATAGACAACCAAAAGGCTAAACAAGGAAAAAAAATAAAAGGTAATTGACAAAGAATAAGTCCTAAAAATAAGGCCTCCTATATTCCCTCTCAAGATGGAGCATGTAAGTTTTTGATGCCCATCTTGCTAAGTAAAGAATGAAGCTGTTGTGTTCCAAGACCTTTTGTGAGTAAATCTGCAAGTTGGAGTTTGCTGTCAATGGCTTCGGGTAGGATCTATTTGGTTTCCACTCGTTCTCGAACAAAGAAACAATCCATTTCAACATGCTTTGTTTGTTCATGATAGACTGGATTGTTTGCAATGTGACGAGCAGCCTGGTTATCACAAAATAGAGAAGTAGGAGTAGTAATGACGACCTGCAAGTCCTTGAGCAACCACCTGACCCATAGAACCTCACTAACAGTGGAAGTCATTGCTCGATATTCTGCCTCTGCTGATGATCGAGACACCACAGATTGTTTTTTTGTTCTCCAGGAAATAGGCCCACCTCCCAAAAGGAGCAGGTACCCCATTCTGGATCGTCTCGTGAATGGACACCCGAGCCAGTCCGAGTCACAATACGCGGTCAAACTTATAGGCCCGCAGCGAGGAAGGAGAATACCCTGCCCAGCCATTCCTTTCAAGTAACGAAGGACTCGATTTGCAGCTTCTGAGTGGTTTTGTCTTGGGTCTGCAACAAATTGACTTAATACATTTACCGCGTATGTGATATCGGACCTAATAGCTTGTAAGTACAGTAACCGTCCTATCAGTCGTTGGTACATGGTGGCATCGACTCGAGCTTCCTCTTCACCTTTGTCGAGTTTCGTGCCTTGTTCGAAAGGAAATGCACTTGGTCGACACCCTAGCATTCCACTGTCTTTGAGAATGTCCAATGTATATTTCCTTTGACTTAGAACCAACCCTTCATGAGTTTTTGCCACCTCTATGCCAAGGAAATATTTAAGCTGACCGAGATTTTTGATGCTGAACTCGTTGTTAAGTTGGCTCTTTATTTGTTGAATTGTTTTGGTGTCGTTTCCAACTATGATAACATCATCCACATAGATGAGAATGGCAACATATATATCTTCCCTTTGATATGTGAATAAGGAATAGTCAGCCTTAGATTGTTTGAACCGTAGGGTGATAAGGAAGTTTGTGAATTTGTGGTACCAATTCCGGGAAGCCTGCTTGAGCCCGTACAACGATTTTTTTAGACAACACACTCTAGTTTCGCCTTCTTTTGAAAACCCTTGAGGGATATTCATGTAAACTTCCTCATCTAGATCACCGTGCAAGAAGACATTGTTAATGTCTAACTGGTCGATGATCCTATCCTTCTTTGCTGCCACGACCAACAGTGTCCGAACGGTGACTAGTTTGGCAACCTGGGAGAAGGTATCGTGATAGTCAACTCCTTCCATTTATGTGAATCCTTTTGCAACGAGTCTTGCCTTATACCGTTCGACTTCTCCATTGGATTTATACTTCGTTTTATAGACCCATTTGGAGTCTATGGCCCGTTTTCCCTCTGGCAGCTCTTCGAGGGTCCACATTTTGTTTCTTTCAAGTGCTTCAATTTCTTGTCGCATGGCTTCACGCCATCTCTCATCCTGTGTGGCTTGAGCAAAACAACTCGGCTCATCGGTAGAATCGATGGCCGATAAGAAAGCTTTATGGGAATGAGAAATTTTATCATAAGTAACAAAGTGAGACAAGGGATGTACCGTCGAGTTCGCTTGATCGGGATCGGGTTGAGAGTTGTTTAGCGAAGGGGGGAGGTTGACGACATAATCGTTCAGGCGAGCCGGCTGAGATCGAACCCTTTTTTTCTTTTGGTCCTGGATCATCGTGACTTTCGATGGACTCATTTTGATTTTCATTTCCCAAGTCTGCCTCATCATTTACTTCAACAGTACCTTCATTTCCATCTGGGAATGCAGAATTTTGTTCAAGATTGGAGACCTGTTCCATTTCATCGTGGGGTTCCTCAATGGGTTTAGAAGATGCTTGTTGGGGCTCATCATAAAACTTGATGGGCTCATCCCATTGTGGCTCTTCTATGGTATTGGTGATGTTTTTAAAAGGAAACGAATTTTCAAGAAAGAAAACGTCTCGGTTCACAATAATTTTTTTACTTTCAATATCGAAGACTTTGTATCTTGTTGTTCCTGGAGGGTACCCTAATAAAACGCCGGGCTTCCCCCTTTGTTCGAACTTGTCTCCTTTTGTGTTGGTACTTTTAAAGTAAGTTAAGCATCCAAAGACTCTTAGATGTTCATACCGAGGTTTTTGTTTTTGTATCAATTCGTAAGAAGTTTTGTTTTTTATTACCTTCGAGGGGAGACGGTTTATTATGTACGCAGCGGTAAGAATGCATTCTCCCCAAAATCTCTTCGGAAGACCTGCCTCAAAGCGAAGGGCCCGAGCCGTTTCAAGCAGGTGTTTGTGTTTTCTTTCAACGACCCCATTTTGTTGTGGGGTATGGGGGCAGGTAGTTTCTAGTAGAATCCCATTTCTTTCATAAAAACACACCATGGAGTTGGTTGTGAATTCTCCACCATTGTCACATCTAACCCTCTTAATTTGTTTTCCAAATTGAACCTCAACTAACTTGTGAAAATTCATTAAGCATTGACTAACATCGCTTTTGTGTTTTATCAAAAAAAACCCATGTGCATCTACTATAATCATCAACTACAGTAAGAAAAAAATTTGCACGAGTATAAGAAGGAACCCGGTATCCTCCCCAAATATCACAATGAATAAGATCAAAACAATCACTAGTTTTGATAAAACTGCTTGGAAAAGGTGTTCGGACAAGTTTCGACTTGGCACAAGAATCACAAAAAACATTGCTAAGATTATTAGAATTACTTTTCAAAAACTCGATGTTTGATAGCTTCTCCTTTGAAGCGTGTCCCAATCTTTTATGCCATATGTCTGTTGTAGTAGCCATGGCTTTCCTTCCTTCTCCGGACATGTTCATAAGGTACAACCCCCCTTTGCATTTACCCGATCCAATCAAGTCCCTCGACCGTAGTCCCTGCATAACAAAGAAATCGGAGAAGAAGGTCACTGCACATTGAAGATCTTTGCATAATCGGTTAACTGAAAGGAGGCTATATTTAAAATTTGGAACATAGAGGACTCCTTTTAGTCTTGCTGCGCCTGGAAGTATGAGATCTCCTTTGCCTTTAACGGGAATGGCATCACCGTTAGGTACAACGACAGGAGCTTCATTTGAGGCACTCCTCATATTTTCAAGAAGATTATGTAGGTGGGTTATATAATCAGTGCAACCTGAATCAACAATGAGAATATCATCTTTATTACCTGTCATGTTTGCCTCACGTTTGGTTTCATTGTTGTTACCCAGACCAGAAGTAGAGAAGAGGTTTACGAATGTCTGATATTGCTCGTCAGTTAATCCTGGAATGGGGCTGATTCCGGTCTGGACGCAGGCAGCCTTTGGCTTGGGTTTGTCACCCTTCTTCCCAGGCCACCAATCCGGATATCCAACCAACTTGAAGCATCCTTCTCGTTTGTGATCGTTCCTTCCGCAAAAAGTGCATTGATTATGCTCCTTTTTCTTTAGTTTGTTTGAAGATGCTCTTTTCTTTTGATTGTTCCAGGTTGCCTCCATGTTTCTGGAACGTTTTGAATGCAGCGGCTTCTGGTGTGACCCGGTTCTCATTCGATATTATTCTGTGTCTTTCGTCCTCTGTCACCATATGATAGGCGACTCCTAAGGTAGGAATGGGTTTTGTTGCTAAGATTTGAGTCTTGATAACACTGAATTCATTATCTAAACCCAAAAGAAATTCGTATAAACGTCCTTTTCAAGGTGTTCCATGATTTTCTTACCAACTTCACAGGTGCATTTGTTGCAGGAGCAGCGCGGAAAGGACTGAATCGATTGTGACTCATCCCATAGAGCCCTAAGACGAGTATTATACGTGGAAACGCTGGTGCCATCATGTCGGGTCGTTGTGATCTTTTGCTTCAGTTCGTAGGCCCTTGGAGCACTCTCCTTCCCAAACCTTTCTCGTAGATCTGCCCATATCTCTGAGGACGTTATGGCATACTTCACGCTGTCACGAACGTTCTTCTCCATAGCAGCAGTAAGCCAACCCTTTATCATTGCATCATATCTCATCCAAGGTTTGTACTCGGAGGAGGCGGTTTCTGGTTTTCGAATGGTTCCATCGACGAAATCCATTTTGTTTTTGGCGTATAAGAAGTTGGACATCTCTTGTGCCCAATCCGCATAATTCCCATCGGTGAGAACTTCATTTACGTGAAGTTGTTTGGGAAGATCGGAAGGGTGGAGATAGTATGATGATGAAGGATCAATAGAGCCTTCTTCGGTTTTGTTTGAGTCTTCTCCTCCGGCCATGATTGACGATGGGAACGTGATCGGCGATTACAACCGCTCTGATACCATCTTAATTTTGGATGGTCAGAGGTAATCAAATTAATTCATTGATTTTGTTATTCAAAACAATCAGAGAGCCTAAAATAAATAGACAACCAAAAGGCTAAACAAGGAAAGAAATAAAAGGTAATTGACAAAGAATAAGTCCTAAAAATAAGGCCTCCTATATCAAGTATCTCTACTCGGCCCCTTAGTGGTCAATCTCTGGTAGCTTATGAGTTTGTATCGTCTCATTTACACCTTTAATTTCCTTTACATTCCACAAACTAGTTTCAAGTTCTCACATTTCTTGAACCTGGGATTTTACTTATACATATGAATGCAAAATTGAAGCAGCCTGACCACAAGGGTGGTGCTTGATTGGTTTGAGGTCTTAGGTTCAAATCCAAGGAGAAATAAAAATCCCCTTGTGGCCACGGAGGTTCAAATGCGGTAACTCCGGGCTATCTGCAAAGCAAGTGGTCGCCCTGGGATTAGTCGGCTCGCATAGCGGGTTGGATATCCAGGTTAATCAAAAAAAATTGAAGCAACCATGATTTGCAGCATATAGCAATCACATTAAATAACCAAACACAATACAAAATTGCATGGGATTTGCAATACAATCTTCTTAGACTCTTGGATATGCTTTGATTAGTTTGTTTGGTTTTAACAAAATTACATGAGATATAATTTACACATCATTTCGACTGGAACCACAAAACACAACACCGCTACTCGAGAAAAGAGAACCGTAACGAGCAAGAGGGTGGTTAGGTTACTGCAACATTGGAGCCAGCATCGGAAAATAAAAGATCTGCTTGCATACATGAAACATTGTAGTTTTAATCTCCATAAACGACAGAAAACTCAAAACATAAATCAAAGCAAGAAGGTAAGACATAACTCAAATGACTCGGCAAGGAATTGAACACAACGTTGAGGTTTGCTGCTGTCATTAGGGGAGCTCACCGGTTAGGTTGATCGGGTTGAAGACATTTGAATAACCCAACCCAATGCTTGCGGTTTGAAAAATCTTAACCCAACCCGAACCCGAACCAAAGTGCAACCCAACCCAACCCATATGGGTTGGTTGGATTGGTCGAGTTTATACTTTGGTACATTAAAATATTCTTCTAACCTAGAATATGTTATTTCTCTACTCATAATTTCTTTTTCATCATCAACCATTTGATACAACTTATCCATACTTCTTACGTATATCACATTCAGTTAATTTTCTCAATCTACATATACATGTTCACAGTTACTGAACATATATACGAATGAGTTATATAAAAATGTGAATAGATTGAAAATATGTGTATATGAAGAGCATACATKATAGTGTAATTGTCTAATGTACATATTAATAGAAATTCAACAATCATATTAAATCCAAGAAATAAAAGGATATCGTGTTCATCGGGATGGATTGGGTTCTAATAATAGCAACCCAATACTTACGGTTTGACAATTTTACAACTCAATTAGACATCGGGTTGCTTCGGGTTGAGTTATTTCATGTTGGATTGGATTGATCGGGTTGGTCGGATTTTTGAGCACCCCTAACTGTGATGGCTTAAGTTTTTGCTATTTTCTATTTATTCTCAAGTGTACCAACACATGCTTTTCCAACTTTCTAAATTTAAACAAACTTCTGTAAACATTATGTCTCCTTTCATGAGCTTCATCCTCTGCTTCCTATTTGTTCTTTTTCCAAGTGTGTTTTATAAGGGTGCGTTTGGTATGCTCGATAGAACTGAACAGGGATCAATGTTCCATGTTTGGTAGAACTTTTATGTGAAACAGACAGAAACAAAGTGAAACAGGCATGTTCCACCCCATGGAACAGAGCTGTTTTTTACAAATATAACCTCAAAATAAAACCTAATTCTCTTCTAAAACATCAAATACATGAAACACCTCTCTCTTTACATTTTATTCATTCTTTAAATTTTATTTATAGTATTTTATGATCTTTAAACTTTTACTTTAGTGTCCTCAAAATATTATTGTTATATAGTTTCTATATTTTGATCACTTTATGTAATTCATTAAATATTAATAATAAAAATAATATAGAAAATATATAAAATAAGAATTAGAAACTACATAAACTTTTTGTTTTTGTGTCATTTTAACATCGACAAAAACTTCCTAATCATATATTTTCTCATAAAATGTAACACCCCCAAACCCTACATTGCATGTAATACATATTTCACATAAAAGAAATACATAATATTATCTCATTCAGGTCCTTTAGTACAAGAATCTAATATGACCAAATACAAGGTCCAAAATCTTAATACATCACTTGTACTAATCAATCAAAACTATACATCAAAGCAAATCTTCAAGTAGAAATGCACATAGGAAAATATTAAATTTTCCCCTTTCCCTTACTGTCCGTACCTCCTGTAACACATAATTAAAATCACAAAACGAGGGTTAGACCAAAAGGTCTAGTGAGATGCCCTATTTATGTTATTGCAGGGTGAAAATCACCAAAACCTTTACGGAAAACATTGTTTCATATATAAAACAGATATATGAATAAATAGAAACAAAATACCAGATCTTTTCCACTTTTCAAGCAAAGTATTCAGCTTATTCAAATCTCATAATTCTGAACAAATCAAGTTTCACATAATGCCACTTTTAAACTTTTTCTTAATCAAACAATGTTATATAAAGTTTCAAGCCAAATCTGACGTTTTCTCCTCAATAATAATCAAACTATGATTTCCAATAAGAACCTTGATCCTAAATCTTTAAATCACAAAGAAATAAAGACTCTATACCACGGTAGTCTTAAAGGATATAATAGAATGAGTTATATCATACAACACACATACAAATGTCACCCTTATATCCAAAGGTACACCTCTCCTTGATATGTCACCCTTATCCCATGATACACCTCTCCTTGATATGCCACCCTTATCCCATGGTACACCTCTCCTTGATATGCCACCCTTATTTTCTCATCAAAATATTTTCACAGAATAATTTCAAATAAACCGCGGCCATTGAAATTATTATCAATACAAAATTATTTCTTTCAAAACTTCCTTTTTATGATAAAATAACATTTCTTATCGAAAACACATCATTACATCAAATCCGSTCAATCTTGACTTAGCCGGACTTCAAATCCGGTCAACTATCCGGACAACACACAGAATGAACTTTGTCCGATTTACACTTGGAAATAATTCTCAATAACTTTGTCCGGATAACAAGTCTGGTCAATACCCCACATAAAGCTTGATCGATTTATCACTTAGAATTATAATCATCTTTGTCAGGATAACAAGTCCGGTCAATACCCCGCTCATTACTTAGCCGATTTAAAATAATCCGGCTACCATTTGGTCGTATTCCTACTTCTCAGTGTAAAAAGATAATCATTTTTACCAATCATAATCCGATCAACACTTAACCGATTTAAGACAATCCGGACAATACATCGATTAACCTTTGTCCGATTTAAAACAATCCGGTCAAACCTTGTCCGGTTTAATACCCGGATAAAACACTTAGAACAAAAGACTGATTTCTTTACAAAATAAACAAGATTCATACAAAACCAATAATAATTTTATGCAAAAGAGTTTTAGAAATTACTCACATTATACAATCAGATGAGATTCAACTTCTTGAAATCAGGCACTTGCAAATCCGATCAACCTTTCCTCTTTTTAAATCGCACAACTTTTAGCAAATGCAAGCAGAAGAAAATATGGAGGCTAAGCCCTCCTTTTATACTTTCCAAATCAGGAAAGGCGGTTAACAACCCTTTTTTTTATTTTTTATAAAATCCAATTCATGCACATACATACATCCACACACCATGCATTCACAACATGCATGTGTGTATAATCATATATATATATATATATATATATATATATATCCAATTAATACACAATCTCACATACCCGCATGATTAAACATATCAATTTATCATGCTATCACGTAATCATATAATCACATATTATTTACCTTGAGTGATAACTAGGGTCTGGTTATCACATAAAAAAATATTTATTTTATAATAATTTAATAAATAACATTAATTAATTAAAATATATAAAAAATATAAACAACTCATCAGAGGTAAATTGATCATTTTATCTGTTTTTTTCTTGTACAATTGTCTTACCAAAAGCAACGTATAATTTATGCACATGCGTGTATATCACAACTAGACAAAGGAAACCTGCTAAAAATGTAGATGGAATGATAGAAAGAGCAACATTTTGAGTTTTGACAATCTAAAGAGTCGTTTTTTAAAGTTAGAAAATATTCAGACATCTAACTTCCTGAGACACATTACACATAGCACAATGACAATCATTGATGATAATCAATGACATGGTTTTAAAAAGCGTGTGAGCCGTATGCGCCTCGAGGTGAGCGGCCCAAAATCGCACCTGAGGAAGGTTTACTTTACAAACCATGTTATTTGTATAAACCTCATTCAACCAATCATAATTTTTTATTTTTTTTTCTAGTTTTTTCATTTTTTTTTGTAATTATGAGAGGTTGATTAATTATTTTTATTGTGAAGAGTGTTAATCATGGATATTATTATTTTCATTATATTAATTTTTTAAAAAAATACATGAAACAGTTTCATTAAAATTTTATAAGTATTATATGAAACAATTTCATAACGATATATGAAACAACTTCATCTASAAAAGTATTATATGAAKCAATTTYATAATATTAAACAATTTCATGAAACAAAATYATTAAATTAAACAATAAAAWCGACGGATAAGAGTGGTTTGTACAAATATGGGTGGTTTGCATTTGTACAAACCATGCAAACCACTCTCATAATTACAAAAAAATGAAAAAGCTAAAAAATTTCATAAGTATTATATGAAACAATTTTATAACGATATATGAAACAACTTCATCTAGAAAAGTATTATATGAATCAATTTCATAATATTAAACAATTTCATGAAACAAAATYATTAAATTAAACAATAAAACCGACGGATAAGAATGGTTTGCACAGTTTGTACAAATATGGGTGGTTTGCATTTGTACAAACCTTGCAAACCACTCTCATCCGTCGATTTCATTGTTTAATCTTATGAAATTTTTTCATAAAAATTGTTTAATTTTGTGAAATTGTTTCATATAATACTTTTGTTGATGAAGTTGTTTCATATATTGTTATGAAATTGTTTCATATAATACTTAATGAAATTTTAATTAAACTGTTTCATGTATTTCTCTAAAATTAAAATGATGAAGATGATAATATCCATGATTAACACCCTCCACAATAAAAATGATTAATCAACCTCTCATAATTATAAAAAATGAATAAAATGAAAAATTATGATTGGTTGAATGAGGTTTGTACGGTTTGTATGAAATGGATGGCTTGCAAAGTAAACCTCTATATATAAACTATATAGAGAAGGTTTACTTTGTAAGCCATTCATTTCATACAAACCTTACAAACTAATCACATCCATCCATTTTTTTTATGAAAAGCTAAGATAAAAACAAACTAAATAAGTAAAGTGAAAAAAAGAAAGAAATCATATTGGAGACACGGAAGGACAAAATAGGAAGGAAAAAAAAAACATGTTCTATGAATTTATTTCATTACAACTATTATACATATGAACCTAATGCAATCATATATAACCTATAAACTTGTTTCATTACAGCTGTTATGCATATGAACATGTTTTATTACAAACTGTTATACATACCTATGAATATAAACTTGTTTAATTACAACTGTTATGCATATGAACCTAATGCAATCATATATATTTAACCCTACTTCATTGAACAGTTTGAATTTGTTTCATTAGAAATTACCTGTTTCATTGAACAATTTGATCATGTCTCATTCAAAATTAGTGGCAATTTTTTTAAACAAAATTATTCTACATTTTTTAAGATGTGACGATTTTTTTCAAAAAATTTAATGAATACCTCAATTAAATCTTCGCTAATATTGTATTAATCAATATATCATTCATATTTATATAAATATCATGTTGTTAACTTACATATTAATGTTAAATAATAACCAAACAAAACTATTGTAAATTCAAATGATTATAATACTCTTACAGATTTAAAAAAAAACAAACAGATATATATGATTGGTTGTAATTAGTTTATAAGGTTTGTACAAATTAGAGCAGTTTGTATTTGATCGCTCCTCTCTCTATATTCGACTAACAGTATACCTAATTGGCTAATTCTCCTCTATTCTACCACATATGCCTCTTGAGTTCCACTATTTTGTTCACCTGAATAAATTTCAAAGCTATATGGAAACCATGGTTTATTGTGCACTGTTTATGTTCCTTTGAAAGTCAAGAGATAAGCTTCCTATGGGAATAAATTTTCTGTCCACAAAATCCCATTTCTCTTCACTGTCCCACCAATTATTATTTTAATTAATATAAATATTAATTAATTCATTTTTTATTCTCTCCTCAATGAAGTGACAGAGTGTTTGAACAAGGAATTTGGGAAGTGATTTTTTTTATTAACTAGAATATCCAACCCGCTATGCTAACCGACTAATCCCAGGACGACCACCTGCTTTGCAGATAGCCCAGAGTCATCGCATTTGAACCTCTGTGGCCACAAGAGGAATTTTTTTCCTCCTTAGATTTGAACCTGGGACCTCCTGGTACTTTTGACCTTTAGAGTTAAGCTCAAACCAATCAAGCACCACCCTTATGGTTTGACAGTAGATTTTATACACCTCCTATAACAACCAATACATCTAAAAAAATATAAACATAAATTAGTGTTGTCATATCGGCTAGTCCCTATATGTTGCATGCATGTGACTGAAAATGATACCACATACCTTTGAAGTCAATAGCCCCCATCATATTGCTTAGATGTGCCCCCATATCTTCCTGGAGCAACATTTTCACTTACCAGGGCAGTCTCTTGCCCAATGCCCCATTTGATGACACTTAAAACACTCACCAGATACAACAATATTTTCACCTACTGGGTGCCCGCCACTCTGAATTCTTCCGTATGCAACACTTTCGCTTCCGTATAAAGGAACAGTGCTAACGCGGGGGCAATCAATCGCCCAGTGCCCCCATTGATGGCATTTATAACATTCAACAGATGTAGCAGTATTTCCACTTGCTGAAGGCATACCACTGTTGATTCTTCCTCCAGAACCACCATACTGACTCCCATAATGACCCATCTGACCAGTACCAGTAACACCTCTGACATAATTCAAAACAGGTGATCCTGTCTCCTTAAAACCCGCAGTCCTTAATTGGGGATCAAGTCCAGAACTCGGAATAGGGATTTCCAGATTTGTGGGTATGGAACTTGGGTACTTTTTCTCATGCATCCTGTGCAGTTCCAGAAGTAGAATGAATGTGTTTGGTGAAAACTTGATCTTTTCTGCCTTAACAACAGTGGATTTAACTCGTTGGTCTTCACCATAAGTCTCTTCCTTCACTTTTAATTTGAAACTATATTTGGTAAAGATAGCATTACGAATAGTTTCAATAAATCTATCCTCGTCTTGCTCTTCATGTTTCATGGCATACAATTCTTTGGCAGAAACGCCCATGATCTCCTCACCAGTTTCCTGAAATACAGTTATCCATGTCGTACCAGTATGGTCTTGTATTTGTAACTGAAGAATGTATCTGTAATCACATTCATCAACAGCCTGATCACACTTATCACATTGCCATTTTCCATCTCCGTTGTTTACAACCTTTTTGCTGCATTTCCGATCGCCTAACATGATAGGACATGCTGTATAGCAAAAGTTATCAACGTTCATATAAAAGATGGTGGCATTGACCGTGATCCAGTCTGGCTTCTCAGAAGTCCCTAGCTTTTCATCTTTAATCTGGGATATAGTTTTCAATACATCTGTTCGGGCAACAGTATCCCTGGACATGGAAACAGAAGGGGCGTTCCTCCCAACACTGTCGAACCATGCTTTAAGTTTGCAAGCCTCTGGAAAATCAGGTTCTATGCATAGCTGGCTTATAGATATGGTACCTAATGACTTCCCATTAAAATCATTTACTCTAGCAGACTTCACAGCCAAAACAGGAAATGCACCAGAATCAGACATGGTTTGCAGTGTTTGGCCTTCTACATCGCAAAAGTTACCCCATAAAGTTAACTCAATGCTTCTTCCAGACATGTCCTTCAGATGAAGTGTTCGCTTATGCGTTTCGGTACCATTTTTCCTCATTATTGAGCATGATGGTGTAATACCAGATACTACACCAATAATATCTAAGACACTGTTGTTATCCATGCCCTCAATCTCACCAATCGAGCGAAAATGAAACTGCTGATGTGGAATTAAATTGTCATCATCAAAGCACGGCTGAACCATTGATGTATTGTCCAGCATGATTTCATGGTCATTGTTTAGGTGATTAAAAGCTTTTTGAGCCGGTTTCAGGCTTCCTTTTGAAATATAATAAACCTTGCCCACCTCAATTTGGTTGTAGAATTGATCAGCCACAGCATTGAAGCAGGTTGCTCGTATTTCTCCACAATCAGAATCAACAAGATCAAAAGAAAAAACTTTACCATCTCCCTTTGCATTGTTGTAGCGTCTAAGTTCCCCTTTTACAGTCACCCTGGCCTTAATGGTCCATCTACCTTGATAAGGATTCAGGGCAGCAATGGGTATAACCCTTGGAGGAGCTTCATTCTTAGCCATAGGCCCCCTGTTACCATACACTGGAGGTGGTTGATTATATACTAGTTGGATCGGATTTGTACGCTTGTTTGCAGAAGCATGCTGCATTGAATTATATTGTCCTGATGCAGAGTTGCTACAGAAAGAACTACCATAAGAATGTAAGCCTGCACTATGTTGATGTTCAGGTATGTGAACTGGAGTGCCCACATTGAAATTCGGTCTTGGCGCAGAGCCAGCAAGTGAACCTTCAGTGGAATATTGAACATCAGTAAGTGTTGATGCTGTCTGGTTTAGAGAAGACGGCAACGGTGCTGCAGATCTTGCCATTGAAGAAGCCTCACTGCCAGAGGGCTTAAGTGGGAATGGCTTTGGATCACCAATGAGATCACACTTGTCAAGAATCACATTGAGATCGATGATTATAATAATTCTGCACAAAATAATTTGAAGAGCTAAGGGCCAACAATTTACACAGTAATTGTAAAAGATAGGCAGAAACTTGTACAAACATGACAAATGTAAAGATGATACAAGTACAATGTTATCTTACCACTAAAAAGAAAATTGATAACAAAGAAAATAAAATTTTGTGCTCTGCATACATGATAGTTTGCAAAGGTAACAAAGATATAAGCCACCACACAGAATAGCACCAACTAGTTAAAGCGAGGCCTTCGTTACCAGCGTAGTCAGGTTATGCTAAAAATGCAACCCGGTAAAAGTTATAAACAAGCAAATCAAACTTAAAATCCAGCTGTAAAAATAGCCTTCCTCTCCTATATAAGGTGAAGTTTTTTGATATATTTTGCTCAACATATATCTTTCAAGCATCAACTAATTTAATTTCTCCAATGTTTATCTCTGCCAGCTCCACAAATCCTGACACTGTGACACCATCTCTAAATTAAACTCTCCATCTTTCACATCCCTACCAATGCATCAAGAGAGATTAAAAGCCAGCTATAACCATCAAGAGAGATTAAAAGCCAGCTATAACCATCAAGAGAGATTAAAAGCCAGCTATAAGAACAGCCTTCCTCTCCTCTGGTGAAGTTTTTATTATATTTCAATAAACGTACATCTGTCATGCTTCGACTAATCCCATCCATGTTCATTTCTGCCCAACTCCTTTGATTTTTCATATTTTATTGCCTTGGACTTGTCCTGGTCCTCTCGTACTAGGGAAAGATCCTCTCTTGGCTTTGTGATAATTTAAAAAATACATAGTTTTGACATCTCCTGACACCATCTCTAGCTAAAACTCTCTATCTTTCACATCCCAACCAACGCATCAAGAGATATATGTACAAAATTACCAGCAATCTCAAAGGTGATCCCCAATATGTCAATTGGTGCTCACTCCCCAAAGAAATGTCCTGATTCCATCCATCCATCCTTATGTTGCCACTCATCAAACTGAGATAACTGGTAATAAACCTAAAAGTCATATGCTGAAAACCTCCAATGTTGAATTCTGAATACTCCATGTCAAACATAAGCAATTAAAGGAAAGACTCCACCATAAAATCTCTAATGGTAAGATCCTGAACTATGTTCAGTCATTCTCCCCCATGATGGCTGTGGACCGAAACAGTGAGGGCACTCCAGAGGGTGGCATCATACCCTATTTGCAGAACATCTAGAGCCAAAGTGATGGGAACCAAGAGGGTAGGGCCGTAGGGGGAGAAAGAATGTTAAATATTTAGGGCTTTAGGGATTAGCTTTAGAGCAACTACTAAAGGTACTTCTTTTGTTACCAGAAACTCAGATGTTCAAGTCACAAAACAATGTATTTGCTAAAAATGCAAGAAAATCCTTCGTAACCAACACTTGTTTTCCCAACCATTAAGCAATGGTACACACCCTCTAGTAATTGGGTTTTGTATATTAATAGTTTGGATGAAATATATGATTACCTTACACTTGGAATTTAGGATATCTAGACTACTCGCTATTTAGTAGTGTTGTCACCAAGCATACGTTGATTTCCAGTCCCTATAGACGGACTGATGGAGTTATTCATCAAGGTTTCAATTACTGAGAATTAAAATGTTACATTAGCCGATTAGCGTTGATTAAGAATCTCCTGTAAAAAATATCTCGATTCAGAAATCACCTTCTGAGTGTTCCTCAAAAAGATCCTAGGCTTTGTGTTTACCTTGCTTTTTATCCCAAATCTTTTTACACTCATCTTCTATAAAGACTACCTGCAGATCCCTAAACAACAAATCATAAAATTGACATGCAGTACAAAACAAGAAAGTGATACATAAGAAAACCAAGTCAAAAATTTCAATTGAACGTATAATGATACAAATAAAGATGCTCATCACGTAATCGAAAAAATTCTTTCTTTGATCCATTGAAGCACGTTTAATTACACAAATTTATTTGCAAAACAAACATATCAGAAATCAGAGAAGATATAACACGTACATGCGTTCACGGATCGTGTTGCAAGCAAACTCAGTCAATTGAACAATGGAACCCTTCTGCAGCTGCTGAGATCTAACCAACTCATTGCACTGAGTAGCAAGCATCCCTTGCTGGTGAAATAAACCGTCAGATAACAAAACCCTGTACTTCTCCTTGTTTTCTCCTCCGCCACCCCCAGCCGACGTTTGAGTTTGAACCCGAATATCCCTCACCTGAACCACCGGTTTCACATCCGTAGCTTGACATTCCCCACTAGATAGAATCGATATTGCTCCCGTAGTAAGATTTACCGCCATAATCCTGATCGGTTGAAGCTTAACTGCAGTGATTTGGGGTTTTCAAAACCCTAGAGATTGAAGATAAAGCGAGGGAAAAAAGGTGATGAAAAGCTTTTGGTTTAGTGGGCGCCAACTATTTTGCACGCCACGTGTTATTGCAAAATGTTACATTTAGCTCCCTGTATTATAAAAACTTGCCAAAAAACACCTCTGTACTTCTTTTTATGCTCAAACACTTTTCTATTTTTTTAAAACTAGAAGACTACTCGCACAATACAGCGAGATACATCTCGATTTTAATATTTTATTTTATTATTTATCTTTATCGATGTTATAATACAATTTTATGTATTCAAGAAAGCAATAATGATTTTATTTTTGAATAAATATAAATTTGAAGATATCATAAGAAAATTGAAAAAAATATATCAATATTAATATCAAATCAACTATTTAAAGTTCTCATTTTTTCTGTAATTTCATTAATTTATATTTTTTATTATAATTTAATTTAAGTTTAATAACGAAATAATTTATTTTTGGTTTAAGAATATAACATTTTATAAAGATAATAATTAAGTATTCTGTTAGAACTCAAAGATTATCCTACTTATATTTTAGATTTTTATATATAAAATGAGATGTTTATCCTGTATTTGATTATGTTTATCTGCAGTTAGTTACACGAATTCAGATATGGAGCTTTAATAAGTTGTATTTACGCACAATCTAATTGCAATCTTGAGTTTTAAGTAATATGCATTAATAAAAAGTATTTTTAATATAAAAATGGTTTTAAGAGTTTTTGTCAAATGCTTTATAATATTTTTTTTAAAATACTAGCGTAATGCAACGAAATAAATCTCGACTTTAATGTTTAGTTTTTAATTTTTATCTTTATTGATATAATACGATTTTATGTGGTTTTGAAAAGGCGGTAATTTTTTATTTTTGAATAAAATAAAAATTTATAGATAACATTATTAGTACAAAATTTTGAAAGTAAATAAATTGATATTTTGATCAAATTAGCTATTTAATAGTTCTCATTTCTTTAGTGTAATTTCTTTAATTTATTTTTTTATTATAATTCTAATTTAGATTCAATAACAAAGTAATTCATTTTTTGTTTAATAATATATATTTTTATGAATATAATAATTAAACATTCTTTTAGAATTCAATGATTATCTTAATTATATTTTTTATTTTCTATGTTTAAAGTGGATGTTTATCTTGTATTTGATTATGTTTATCTGCAGTTGGTTACACGAATTTAAAAAATAGAGCTTTAACAAGTTATTCTTATACAAAATTATTTGTAATCTTGAATTTTAAGTAATATGCATCAATAAACAAGACTTCATACATATAAAATGATTTTAAGAGTTTTTGTCAAATGCTTTATAATACAGTATAGATTTTGTCACCTATGACAAAATCAATCAATAACATACATGTAATCTTGTGGTTATATTGAAGATAAAAAGAACTCAAAAAAAAACAATCAAAAAGATGATTGGTAAAAACAAATTTCGTATTTGATCAACTAAGTAGTAGTCACCACCTTGCTTATCGAGTAAACTTTTTTATCCTTGATATGCTTATCAGTAAGGTAAATGACGTTTTATAAGTGTTTATCTGGTTAGCATTATGTAAAACATTCCTTAGAAAGAAAAATAACAAAAAAGTGTCGTGTTTAGATACATATATACACAATACACCTAATAAATAAGTAAATTTTGGGACACATGTTATGTTTTTGTGTGACGGTTATTGATTTTTCCTGCCTAAACATGTATCTAGACACAATTTTCACTTACGATTCAAATAGGTCTATTTAAGTGACACTTGTCCCTCTACACATTTATTTTTAGTTTTCGTGGTTTAACTGATTTCCCAGACTAATTAGAAATCTCTGATATGTTTTTTTTTATAGTTTCTAAATATGGAGGCTTCTTTTCCAGACTTAGAAGTCTGAACACTGAACATGTATGTGGACACAATTTACATTACTGGTTCAAATTGACATATGTCCCTGTAAACATAACTGATTTCCGTATGAAAAGGGATTTCTTTTCAAATACCTAAATAAGCAAAAGTCTGGATTTCCATTCCCCAGACTTATAAGTCTGAACTCCTTTTCCTCAGTTAAAATTCAGAGTTGTCTGCCATACTTATAAGGCATACCAGTATAAAAGTCTGAGGACAAGTCTGAACTCTTTTTCCTCAGTTAAAATTCAGAGTTGTCTTCCAGACTTCTAAGACATACAAGTATGAAAGTCTGGGAAAATCAGAGTTATAAGTCTGAATTTAACTCTGAAGTGGCTTCAGACTTACAACATAATTCTGGGAAAATTCAGAGTTGTAAGTTTGAATATAACTCTGAATTTAACTCTGGAGTGGTCATCAAAACCGGGTTCAAAATTTCAAATTCGGATTTTTGAAGCATTTTTCACAAAGCAATATTACTCGGAAAATTTCAACTTGATCCCAGCTAGGGGCTCTGCCCCTTGGACCCCGCCACCAGGGGAGCTGCCCCCGGACCCTCATCGTGTAACGCCCATATTTTTACCATGAGAAATGTTACGTAATCTAAAACAGATTCTCCAAAAGCACTCCAAAAACAATGGCTAAATTAAAACTTTAGACCGTTTACAGCGGAAGACTTTAAAAGAATAAATATATAACTTAATGTCAGCCCGTCCCATACCGGGTTGCTTTACAAATTTATCTATCATAGATGATTGCACCTAAATATTGAACTTAAATGGACTAGACAAGTCTCTATGTATGCCCTTCTTTTTCTTTGTCCAACCTGAAACCTTATGTCCATGAGATGCATGATATAGTCAGCTTATAAAGCTCAGTGAGTTCATGGTTTGCATGAGTAAAGATCATTTCACATCATACATATCAACTTGTAAACTTTGTACCAAATAGTATGCATTTTCTGAAAAAACATGCAACACTGAAAGAAAAAAGATCTTATAAATTGTCTGTCGAGTATGAGTCATTTAGTCACTGGCATTCTTTGAGTTGTCCGACCTGCACCTGTCTAGACACTCATTACAGGGTTGTGCCACTTGTCATGTGACTTCTTGATCAAATGCTCACCCGCTAAAACTAATCATAAAACTTTCAATTGAAATAACATGTTAGAGTTATTTGAAAACAAAATAAACACATAGCATGCAACTGATCATAAAATAACATACATGTAAAATATATCGTAAGATGTATGTAATTGAAATATCATGCATACGTACACATCATCAACGATTCATATCATGCTAAAATAAATTTGTACTTAGGTATACATCCCAGTGAAATCTCATGAAAACTCACCTAATTGCGCATAGATTGACTACCGATCGCTCTTGACCAAATGCCTACACATATAAAGAACTCGAATTTTGGTTGAGTATTTTACCTCCAATCGTCAATAAACGGAGATTTTTGAACTCGAACTTCAACCTCCGATTTTTCTTTCGAAACTCAATGAAACTTCGGTTTTCTTGAAACAAAAGTGTGGAGAAAAGTGTTGGCTACGTATATCTGGGTTTTTTTGTCTTAATAGTTGAAAATTCAAATTGATATAAAGCTTCAAAGGAGTGGTCGTTTTCACGTTTCTGAATTTTGCAGATCTGAAATATTTACAAAACAGGTCCTTCAGGTTTGGACCTGTTAACATCTGACACAACCCTTAACTATTATAAAAATGCATTCGGCCCCCTGGCTCCATTACTTTTGATATCTTTACACATTTCACCCCTAATATGACTTTTTTTTTTAATTTTTAATCCAATTTTCAAATATATTTATATTTTTTTCCCAATAAAATAAAAATCATTTTATTTTATTTTCTTTGTTCTTTTTGCTTTCTAATTTATTTATTTACCTTATTTTGGGGTGTCACACGTCGTTTAGGGGTTTCGCCCCTAAATCAAAATAAACTCAAACAAGTGTGCATTTCACACCTTCCTTACTTGTTTGATATTTATCATGATTACATTGGTCAACTAATTAATCCCGTTACACTTAAATGACATTAGTGATACAAATCAACAACATGAAGTCATCAGATATTTGATATTTTATAGACTTAGAAGACAACTCTGAATTCCTCTTATTCAGAGTTAAGTCTAAAGTTATTTTCCAACCTAACAATAGAACTCTGAATTCTTGTGTTTCGGAGTTAATGTTCAGAGTTTTCTTTCAGAGTTAATGTCCAGAGTTTTTCTCATTTAAAATATCTCGTGTAATACACGGGTCCGAACCTAGTATACTAATATATAGGGAAAAGTCTAAAAAAATCCAATGGACTTTAGTGTTTGGAATGATTAAGTCCTTGCATAATTTTTTGAACAAATAAATCATTGGACATTCCAAAACATGTCAAATAACTCCTTGGACTTTATAAAACCTGTTAGATACATCTTTATGACCTACACAACTGGTTAATATGATAAAATAATGAAAAAAAATCCGAAAAACAAACTCAATGAACATTCATATTTTGAACAATTAAGTCCCTACACATTTTTTGAACCAAAAAATATTTAGATCTATAAAATTAAACAAATATAA